ACCTCTAGAAAAGATAGACTTTCGTAGGCTATTAACCTTCGCTATTGAACTATATTTTATAAAAGTGAGACATTTTGTGTCAGTTGTTCAATGGCTTCCTCCACAGTTTAGACACTTCTCCTTTGCTGTGCATGAATTCACTTTAGAGGATCGATGTTCTTCTGCACAAGTTAGACATTTTTAAGTTCTCTCGCAAAATTTCTTAAAATGTCCTATCTGATCACATTTGTAGCACAACCGGATTGACGAAACGTATAGTTGAAGTGGGTTTATTGTCCTTAAAATGTTAATTATCTCGGGAAGATTTTTATCACGAAATTCCAGACCTACGGACTAGGCCTCGACTCTTTTCCTTGAGACTTTATCCCAACTATTCAATCTGAAGATTTTAGAGATCATTATATTTGTGTTTTCTTCTTCAATGATCTCTTTTAGTCCTCCTAATGACATGCTCTCTAGAATTTCTTTAATTATTCCTCTTCGAATTAACTTAAAATGGGGATTAAAGACAATTAATCTCATCTCCTGTAGAAAAGTATTTCTTAAAGCTGCATTTGATAAAGTCTTCGATTTAAACGTCACTCTCCAGATATTGAATGAATAACTTACAATATGGTGTCGAATTTAATATTAATAGAATTCAGCTTTTTTTATATTAATCCTTATTGTGCACCCTTCAGTAGAATCACATAATGGGCATACTGGGGTCTTTCGCGACTCCAGCTACAAAAATGTTTGCTGCAATAAAATTATTCGCTTTTTTTATTTGAAAAAATTCTAGGATATATTTCAAACATCTTTTTATATGACGTAATTATTTTCCAGACGAAATTTGATTTTAAATGAAGAAAAAAATTAGAAATCCCAAAAACGCGAAAAATGATTTGCTTCAAAATGACACAATTTTTGACATTTCAAGGTAAAATTTTAAGAAATTACTCTCAAGACTTACCTCTTTAAGAAAAAAATTAGTACAATAGCAGGATTTTCAAAAAAGGTATTTATTTTGAATAAATTAGGATTTTTGTGAAAAAAGCAAACAGTTTTTCAAAATATATAGATTTATTTTATTATATTATATTTTATTTTTTATTTTATAAATTTACTTTATTTTACTTATTTTTTCTGGGGTCTATTAGATCCCACAGTGCACAATAAAGATTAATAGTGGCATAGAATTTTTATCATTTCCATTTCCTGATACTAAAGTGCACTATAAACGGCGAGTGTTATCTAGGAAGAGGAGAGTGTCGTGAGCGTGGAGCGTCAAGTAGCTCAGTGGTTTAGAGCAGTCGTCCGGCAAGCGAAAGACCCGGGTTCGAGTCCCGGCCTAGCAGGACCGCACTCTCGATATTTTTCTCTTTCTGGAACGAAAAAGATACGCAGATCTCGAACGCACTGCGTCCCGCCGCCACCTAGTATGCCCTCCTCCTTCATCACATTTATTTTGTTTGATTGTATCCTTATTCTCTTCATATGTTAGTTCAGTTTGCTTCATTTTACTATCTTTCCTTCGTCTTTAATCTTCTTGTTTAGTTTTTTATATTTTCTTCAATTCAGGATTCTTTATCTTACACATTTTTTTCTTTGTTTGTTTTAATCACTGTTGAATTCTTTTGGTATTTTCTTCTGATGACTCCTCTTCTGTTGTTGAACATATTTGTTTCCTCTCATGCTGCTCTTCTACGCAGAGGTGCCACATGTAGGACGTAGTAAGCGTGACTACAATGCGTGAAGCGCAGCGCACACAAGCGAAGAACAGTGGACTGCTCGTCACGAACTATAGCGCTGCTAAAGCGCCGAGTGCTATAATTTGTGACGAGCAGTTCACACGTACACGATCCTTCGCTTGTGTACGCTATGCCGCATGCACTATAATCACACTGACTGTGTCCTACATGTGGCACCTCTGCTTCCACATCCATTTTTATTATTGTTTTCATTTTTGCTCATGGATATATGATTCTCCTCTCAAAAACTTCTCCAAATCTCTTCTAATATCCCTAAGTGTTGGGGAGAGCTCCATGTCCTCTCCCGGAGCGAAAACATCCGAGAAAAGTTATATTTTGCCGACTACTGGCTTAATGTCTCACACTCTAAGACTTAGTCTCTTCGACTTTTGATAACTCAAATTTTCTCCGAATTTTCTCACTATCTTCTCACTACCTCAGTATCTCAATTCTCTCACTACCTCAATTCCTCGTTCTCACGCGCGATATGGTAGTCGAATTACAGCGATGTCCTTTGCCGTTGTATATTAGGTTAAGTTGAACAAAAAAATCCTCTACTATTTTGCAAATGATCACATAGATTTTTAAATATTAATTAAAGAATATTTGAGCATTTACCGCGCACAATCATGTAACCATTTCTTTTTCATTAGTAACAAAAAATCCACGTGGTTATTTGCAAAATAATAAAGGACTTTTTTGTTCAATTTAACTTAATATAAAAACATATATCGCTATTACAACTCATGTGCCATATCTTGCGTGACAACTTACCAATCTTCTTTAATTAATATCTCGACTATTATTACGAATATCGCAAAACCGTATATGACTTTCATGTTCATCTCAATCCGTTCATCAATTATTTTTATGTATAAACATAATTTTTCATTATGATGTTTTTGATTTTCCAATATAATATCCATGCTTTTCATGCAAGAAGTATAGTACACCTACAAATATGAATTTCTATATTTAAACGAAATAACGACTACGTTGAACATATCCATTTAGGCTGAAAACAGGTTCAGTTTAGCATTTTACGCATTAAGAAATAATTTTTGATAATTTATAATGAAATCCAGACCGAAATATCGTAGCTTATCGATCCTCTTCGTTTCGTCCATTTTATGGTCCTTGAAATTCGAATCGAACTGTATGGCAAACGATACTACATGATGGGACATTAATTATCTCAGAAAAAATTTCAAATGAACATAAGATTAGTTTTAAAAATATGGGAAGTCAAAGGCTGTGTTCCAAAATTCACTACCAGCACTAAAAAACTATAGTTTATGTTACATATATTATAGATTTTCAACGCTATCAATAATTTTTGAACACAGCCAAAATAGCTAAATTTCCAATATTGTCTAAGCATAATAGATACAAAAAGAAAGTTAAATTTTCTCTATTGACAATAGAATTTTTATTAGAATTAGTCAAAATTGTGATTAATCATCTGATTACCGTACCGTACTAAAAATCCGACCTTTTCACCCTTGGTGCTTAATTATTAAAGGAATAAAATTATCTCTAGAAAAGTTTTTATTGAATTTCTTGAAAACGGATACGAAAAAATGTTTACGATAAAAGTTATTTATCTTGAAATTCTACACAAAAAATGTCTGTTTCATTTTTTGTAGAACTAACTTTTTGATCGAAAATCATATCTGAAGAAAAATAATATCTAAAAATAGTTTCTGAAAAGTAACGTTAATACGAGCAGTAGTTTGGATATGTTTATTTTATGTAGAAGAAAACCGTAATTTAATTAGTATTATCTGCATAAACATTTATTATTTATCTCGACGAAATTAACAATATAACTATATTTAATGACATTGAAATTGAAGCTCAATGTGTATTATGTATATTCCAGTTTGAATATCGTGTATGTATGCGCTCGAAATAAGGTATGTAACTTGTATGCGGCACGGGAATCTCATTCCTACTCATCAAAATCAATATAAATATTCAAAAAATTAACTTTAAAAGTCTTAAGCTCCGTACACTGCAAAAACTGCTAATTATAAGTGTTGAAGTTAGCGACACTAGCTATAAATTTCTAGCTCTTAAAAATTAAATATCTCAAGATATTTTAAATATTACATGCGGTGTAAATATCGCAATTCGTAATACTTAAGATAACTAAAATATCTTTATTTTATATTTAATTATATCTTAAAATATACTTCAAAAGTATATCGTTAATATCGTATTAATAGTTCCTTAAGGAGATTCCCTATATTTTTAAAAACTATATTTAGACGCGATTTTCAGCTAAAAGGTTAGTCCTGCTAAAAATGAAACAAATCTTTTTTATATAAAATTAAAAAAAAACAACTATTTAAAAAAACAACTTTTATTATGAACATTTTTTCATATCTATATTCGTTTTCGAGAAATTCAGCAAAAACTTCTTTTAAGGTAGTTTCACCTCTTTAAAAAAAAAAAAATTAAACAATAGGAGTAGATCGGACTTTTAGTACTGTGGTCAGAGAACTATTCTGATTAACTCAAGTAAAAATTCTACTGCTATTAAATAAGTTTTAACTTTCTTTTTATGTTATTATACTTGGATAATATTGGGAATTTGGCTATTTTGACTTCCCGTATCTTCAAACTATCCCTATATTTAACTTAAAATTTTTTGGTATTAATGTACCATCATATCGTTTACCATACAATTTGATTTGAATTTTAAGGTCTAAAAAATGGCGAAAAAATGTGTTTTTGATCACTTTCTATATTAAAAAAAAAAACTCATATATTTCATTAAAAAAATAAAAGTTGACCTTGATAGGGTATTATAAAATCACATTTTAAGGTTAAATAAATATTACCATAATTTTTCTCTCGCGTAATTTCATATATTTTATTTGAAACATTTTTAATAAATCTCTTAGCTTTCATAATATCAAAATAAGAAAGTTAAATTAGAACACCTGTTGTATGTGATTAAATAATAGAAATAGCAAACTATTTAAAATAATGTATGAAACATATAGTTTTAGGACATCAATACACAGTAAAGCTATAGAGAACACATATCAATCAATACCTGCTAGCCTGACATACAAGGAATTAGATTCTTATAGTTACGAAGAATCTGACACATCAGTTGCTTCCGGAATTTATGAAGAAATTATGGACAATGCATATTCTGCTAAATCAAGAACCAATACTTCAAATGTTTATGAGGATACAGATGAAATTCTATGTAATGTACATATAAAACCTCCACCGCTGCCACCACGGCAGAGGCAAAAACCGGAGCACATAAAGAAAGTTAGGTATGACTAATATAGTTAAATGTTACTTTAACATATTTATGGTTAAATGTAACTTAAATATATTTGTATAGATACTTTTTTTCTTAAAAAAGGTACGTGATTAGTATAAGTTTGGAAAAATTTAAAATAACTTAAGATTGGTACTCTTTCTTTGGTAAATGTTTACCTTTACACAGCCAGCTTCAAATGATTTCCGAGTAACCTTGATATTGACCTTGACCTCCACGGAGGTCAATACTATTGACCTTTATCGGCGTTTATTGTTTGTTAAAAAGTTATTAGCCAAAAAAGTTTAAGAGGTTGAATGTAATTTTTGCACACAATGTATATAGAAATACGGCAATATTTACGCATCTTCTATAGTTTCCGTAATATTAATAAAAAAGATAACACATACATACACTACTTACCTGCACAGCGCGCTCGCCCCCCCCCCCCCCCCC